CTAGCTTGTATACAGCCAGTTCTAGCCCACACCTTGCTAGTTCTAAACCCAACAAGGGTTTTTTACATGCACACTTATTAATTCTTACTTCTACGTTAGTTCTAGCTTCTATTACCCTAGTTCTAGCTTATATACAGCCAGTTCTAACCCACACCTTGCTAGTTCTAAAACCAACAAGGGTTTTTTATATGCACACTTGTTAATTCTTACTTCTACGTTAGTTCTACCTTCTATTACCCTAGTTCTAGCTTGTATACAGCCAGTTCTAGCCCACACCTTGCTAGTTCTAAACCTAACAATAGTTTTTTACATGCACACTTGTTAATCCTAGTTCTAAACCCAGCCCGTGTTCTAGAAGTGGCTGTATACAAGCTAGAACTAGGATAATAGAAACTAGAACTAAGGTAGAAGTAAGAATTAACAAGTGTGCATGTAAAAAAACACGGGCTTGGTTTAGAACTAGCAAGGTGTGGATTAGAACTGGCTGTATACAAGCTAGAACTAGGGTAATAGAAACTAGAACTAACATAGAAGAAAAAATTAACAAGTGTGCATGTAAAAAACCCTTGTTGGGTTTAAAACTAGCAAGGTGTGAGCTAGAACTGGCTGTATATAAGCTAGAACTAGGGTAATAAAAGCTAGAATTAACGTAGAAGCATGAATTAACAAGTGTGAAGGTAAAAAACACGGACTGGGTTTAGAACTAGCAAGGTGTGTGCTAGAACTGACTGTATACAAGCTGGAACTACGGTAATAGAAGCTAGAACTAACGTAGAAGTAAGAATTAACAAGTGTGCATGTAAAAAACTATTGTTGGGTTTAGAACTAGTAATGTGTGGGCTAGAACTGGTTGTATACAAGCTAGAACTAGGGTAATAGAAGTTAGAACTAACGTAGAAGCAAGAATTAACAAGTGTGCATGTAAAAAACCCTTGTTGGGTTTAGAACTAGCAAGATGTGGACTAGAACTAGCTGTATACAAACTAGAACTAGGGTAATAGAAGCTAGAACTAACGTAGAAGCTAGAATTAACAAGTTTGGTTGCAAAAAACGTGGGCTGGGTTTAGAACTAGCAAGATGTGAGCTAGAACTGGCTGTATACAAGCTAGAACTAGGGTAATAGAAGCTAAAACTAACGTAGAAGCAAGAATTAACAAGTGTGCATGTAAAAAACCATTGTTGGGTTTAGAACTAGCAAGGTGTGGGCTAGAACTGTCTGTATACAAGCTAGAACTAGAGTAATAGAAGCTAGAACTAACGTAGAAGCAAGAATTAACAAGTGTGTATATAAAAAACTCTTGTTGGGTTTAGGACTAGCAATGTGTGGGCTAGAACTGGCTATATACAAGCTAGAACTAGAGTAATAGAAACTAGAACTAACGTAGAAGCAAGAATTAACAAGTGTGCATGTAAAAATCCTTGTTGGGTTTAGAACTAGCAATGTGTGGGCTAGAACTGGCTGTATACAAGCTAGAACTAGGGTAATAGAAGCTAGAACTAACGTAGAAGCAAGAATTAACAAATGTGCATGTAAAAAATCCTTGTTGGATTTAGAACTAGCAAGGTGTGGGGTAGAACTGACTGTATACAAGCTAGAACTAGGGTAATAGAAGCTAGAACTAACGTAGAAGCAAAAATTAACAAGTGTGCATATAAAAAACCATTGTTGGGTTTAGAACTAACAAGGTGTGGGCTAGAACTGGCTGTATACAAGCTAGAACTAGGGTAATAGAAGCTAGAACTAACGTAGAAGCAAGAATTAACAAGTGTGCATGTAAAAAACTCTCGTTGGGTTTAGAACTAGCAAGGTGTGGGCTAGAACTGGGTGTATACAAGCTAGAACTAGGGTAATAGAAGCTAGAACTAACGTAGAAGCTAGAATTAACAAGTTTGCTTGTAAAAAACACGGGCTTGGTTTAGAACTAGTAAGGTGTGAGCTAGAACTGGCTGTATACAAGCTAGAACTAGGGTAATAGAAGCTAGAACTAACTCGAGGGCTACTAGAACTACCACGATAGCATCTAGAAATAACATATCATTAGGTATAACTATTATCAAATATAATTAATAACGATTTATAAAAACATGACTGTATCCTCATTTATAACAACGATTTATAACTACAGTCCCAGCTTACAACGATTTTTGGTAATTAAATATTTTTTAGCTTATTTTGCTAATTAAGTTTTAAAAATGCTCTATTTTAAAAATTTGTTCGAAATTAAAATACAAAAAGACTGCGCACATTAGGTTTATTGCAAATTCAGCTTCCTCTAAAAAAGCGTGGATGTCTCGTAAAAGTGGAAAAATGGGGACAATTTTTGACTATTTTTTAAAATTAAATCATTCATTTATTTGTAGTTGGCCAAACATTTTTTTTCTTTTCTTCTTCTAGCTAATGGATTAATGCTCTGTGCGTCTCGACGGCGACGATCTACGGCGGGGGAGCGGCGGCGATCTACGGCGATGAGGACGGGTGAAAAGTGTCACACATCAAGGGGCTGATTCACATGGGAAAAACTATGAGGGGCCTCGTCACATGAAGTTTCTACTTTTGGGGTCTGTACACATTTTTCCCTTCAAAATTTGATACAACCCCTTAAGTTAAAATCTTAACTATGGACAATTGACTAATAAAATCTTGAAGTTATAGGTTTTTTTCCCCTGATAACCCCTAATCCACCCCACCCCCTCTTATTTTGAAAGTTAAGGTCTTAAAGATCGTTATCTGCAATCATCAAAAGTTAAAGGAAGGATTTCGGATATTTATTCTCAATTCTAATAGGCTTTTTAGATTAGTCTGTCAAATCATAAAAATTATTGTTATAGTTTTCTCAATTATTACTCGATGTTTCAAATTAGGGGCTGTTTGGTTGCACACTTTTTGAGAAAACTTTTCTCAAAACATCTGACAATGACAAATTTGTAATTAAAAGTTTTTCAGAGATTTCTGTAAATTGTGTTTGGTTCAACAAAAAATTTACAGAAATATTTTCTATAAAATATCAAAACCTACCAAATTTTACAAAAAGCAATTTCCTCTCAAAATGAGAGGAAATCACCAGAAATCTGACACATACCATATTTAATTAAAAACCTACCAAATCTTTTTATTTTCTATAAAGTTATGAGCTATTTTCTTGTTTTGAACCAAACAAGCAAAGTACAAAAAACAAAAAAATTGGTACTTTTTGATTTCTCAAAACTTTTCCTATAATTTTTTAAAGAAATACAAGGAAATCATATTTTAGGTGGAAAACATTTCCTATAATTTCTAGAAATTGAACCAAACACCCCCTTAGCCTCTCTTGTCTAGTTGTAGCGAGGCGTAAGGTTTGGGAGCCTAGCGGTAATTCAAAGATTTGAGAGACTAAATTCAAAATAATAAAGATTCACGGGACTAATATAGAGAATTTTTTTTTGTTAAAGTTATATCCATGACCTAAGTTATTTGCCCTCAAATACCCAAAGTTTCATTCATTACCTCAACAAAATTTACCAAAAATACTCCAAAGTTTAACAATATTTTCACTTTTCCTATATGTTGCGTGACCTTTTTTTGGTCATCAATGTATTTATCTTATTATTTCTGGTTAGGTGCAAATATTATTTCTGCTAGTGCTGCTAGATTACAAGAGAGAAGGTGAAAGAGGGCTGCAGCAGGAGGTGTTCGAGCTACTGTTGTTGCTGGAAGTTTTGCAAAGTGATTTTCTAGAATGATCTTTAATTTTAGAAACTTAAAGATGTTCTGATTTTTGAGTTGTAAAACTTTGTATGACTGTGACTGGTTCTACTATTTTGTGTTGATAGTAGATGATAGTTTGTGCTCCTTTCTGGAAAAGGGTAAAGCACTATTAAGAAGTATGAGTTATTTTGTTTTGTAAATCATGTTTGAACTTGTATACACATTCTTGGTTGGGAATGTGTATCATTATGTAACAACCAGGTTTTGGTTAATTTAGCTGGCTGGATTACTGTTATGGTAATCCATCATTTTTCTCAAAAAAAAGCATTTATCTTAGAAAAATGATAGAGACACACTCTCAACCACAACTCCAACCACACCCCCTCTCTCATTTGCTACAGTGCACCGGGTCCCACATGAGATTTTAAAATTTTAAAATTCTATGTGAGCCATGGTGCACTGTAGCAAATGAGAGAGGGGGTGTGGTTGGAGTTGTGGTTGAGAGTGTGCTCCTAGTGCCACTCTATGCTATATCTTCATTGGTTATGAAATGGAAATTTTTGACCTGCCACCTAATTTGTAAGGGATAATTATATTGTATTTGGCATTTTGTTCTTGAAGATATTGAGTTATGTCATATTGAGTAAAATGTATTACTTTAAAAATATATATAGACCTCAAATTGACGAAAAGTATAAGCATGAACGTCCAATTATAAGATAAAGAGTGGTGTTAGGGGCACACCCCCTAACACACCACCAACCACACCTCCCTCTCCCATCGCTACAGTAAACCGGGCCCCACATGGGATTTTAAAAATTTTAAAATCCCATGTGGGGTCCGGTTTACTGTAGCGATGGGAGAGGGGGTGTGGTTGGTGGTGTGGTAGGGGGTGTGCCCCTAACATTATTTAAACATTAAAAATGATATTACTAATTCAATTAGTATTTAATTATATAAGGAAATTAAAATATAACTATGTACGTCAAATTATGCGATATAGTGACCAGTGATTCAACCAACTTATTTTTTGAACAATTATATCCTTGAAATGAAAAGAAATTTCATCTGTTTCTTCCTTCATCTGCCCGCCTTTGAGCATGAAACCCATTGAAATCAACAAAAATCCAAGCTTGGTCGATGTCGATGGAACCACTAACACGGTTATTGGGAAAATCTGAAGTTTAGTGGGTTTTTGGAAGACACCCCCAAGTTTAGTGGGGAAAAAAGTCTGGGAAGTTACAGGGGGAATCCCGAAAATTGAGGGGGCTCTATGAAAATTTCCCGAAAGAAAACTAACCACCAAGCAAACGTTAATTGGACTGTCGAGCAAGCCAGCCCATCTATTTTCTGCCCCCAAAACCCTAGAAAATCTCGTCCGATCTCTTCGATCGATCCATCGACGGATCTCCAATGGCGATCCTCTACGCCTTGGTGGCGAGGGGGACCGTCGTCCTCGCGGAATTCTCCGCCGTCACCGGCAACACCGGCGCCGTCGCTCGCCGAATCCTCGAGAAACTTCCGCAGGAACAAGATTCCAGGATGTGCTTCTCTCAGGATCGATACATCTTTCACGTTCTCAAAGCCGATGGCCTCACTTTCCTCTGTATGGCCAACGACACATTTGGAAGTGAGTTTTCTCGCAATTTCTCCGAATTTTGCCATTCTAGGGTTTCAGGAACCAAATCCAGGTTGCCTTCTTGATTGATTTTATGCTTGTTGACATCATATTCGAAGGAATAATTACGGGATGGAAACTAATTCTCTGGTCTTTTGGCAGAAATTCATTGAATTAGGCTTCAAAGGAACAACAGCATCATAATTTCTAAAATGAAATAATACCTAGGGCACATCTAAAGTGCCAACTTTCCCGAAGATCAAGTGGATAGTTTGGCTGGCGAAAAATTATTTAAATTACGCTAATTGTTTTCAATTGCTTTAAGAGTGGAGCGCAACTTTGCCATAGAGGACACTCTGGCTGATCTCTATTACACCACCGAGGATACGGTACCTATTTTTATGAATATGGTAGTATTCAGTTTCCATGAAATAGGAAACTACATCTGGGTTTTATTTGGCAACGTAGTAGGATCTAGTGGAAAAGCTCAAATTAGCAATTCGAAATTGTAGGCAACATTACAAATTATCAACATGTAGAAAATGCAGAACATCTTTATTTGAATTGCTAAGTTCGATATTTGCCTTCTCGTGCATAGAGTGGTGATACACGTTCATAGTGGATGTGTCATTATAGCAGTATCACCGTCAATCGTAATAAGTTTACATCGGAATAGGATGAGCTGGTGTTTAAATTATATGACCACTTATAGTTCATGAGAGATGCCCCGAGAAAGGCTCCAAATGTCAAACCATGAACATTAGAGAGCTCATAAGTGCGGTTTTGGATTAGCTTTAGATTGGCTTTAAATTTTTGGGGGCATGAGCATCATATAGGGCAGGAAATAGTTAAGATGTTAGATGCTATGGGTTAGGTCTTTTGCTGGTGGAAAAACTGTTAGATAAGAAATGATTTATAGTAGATATATGGCTGATGCTTGTGATTTTTCCTACATTGTTTTCCAGTCTCATTGTTTAGTGACAGAATGAGTAGATTCTGACATAACTTGCCATATGATGACACTATTTGGTTCTTCAGCCCCATTTTTAATGTCTATTTGCTTCTCTCTCAGAAGTAGGACAATTTTTTGGCGAGCATGGGCCCTGTGTCTCTCAATGGAGCAAGTTCAGTGATAATGCATCAACTTTATGTATATTGTGTAGATAGTTGTTTCTACATCAAAATTTGACTTTTTCCTTTTCTTTTGGACTGCCTTCGTTTATCTTGGACATGATACTAATACTGTTGTGAATTTCGCAAACATCACTACATTGTTTCATGCCTTCTTTTCAGAGTTAAATTTACCTTTCTAAAAGTCACAAGTAAGTAGTGTATCATCAGCCTCCTTAATCCCATGTGTTTTGAGTCTTTTGATATGACAGATGCCGGACAACATTCTACTTCTCTACATTTGGGCTTCTTTAAATGAAAGTAGTCTGTGAGTTGGTCATGACTCATGACATGAATGTGTCTTGAATAATTTGTTCCCTCATGATCTTATGATGTGAAATGTTTTGATGAGGGTGGTGATGTCTATCCTTCCTGAAGGTTGGGCCAATAACTAGTTGTTGTACCTTTTAACTTGTTGTATTGCTTTTATGCGCGCATTTAGATCTTCTCCTGGAGTAAACTAAGTACGTGATCCATTTGTATGAAAATAATTATGTGTGCCACCAATAGGATCATTCACCCAAAAATGGAAATCGCAGACCCCTCAAGACCCCCCAAACCAAAAAAAAAAACTCGGTTTTGTTCATGCGCTCTCTTTTGGGACTTTTTTCATTAAATGTAAATTTAAACTTCTGCTCAAATTCAACCAAGCTCGCTCAATATTTTTTTCCAAATTCAAGAGTTTATGTTTCTATTGAGTTTTGGGGATTTTTTTCTCAATTCTAGAGACAACTAATGGTGCATTCTTTAAACCCGTAAGGCATATTGTTTCCCCCTTTTCATTCTCTTTTTTTACTATGACCGACGTATAATATTGTTTAATCAAGATTTATATTTCTCTGTCATGATTGTTCTTTTTTTTTTTTGCTTTATTCATTTAAGATATGCATTGATTTGTTCTGTAAACCCGAAATGTAAATAGTTAACTTATTTATGAAAGTATATAATTATTTAATTATATGTATTTATCTTCATATTTTATATTTACATAACTTGTGCCCTTCTCCCTGAAGTTCGAATCCCGGCTACACCACTGCGTTCAGGCTCCTGCATTAGTTTTTAATCATTTAATAGAATTATATATCTACACCATCCAATGTATGTGACAAAGGATGAAGGTTCACATTTTCATCACTAGCAGCGACATAAGGAAATTCAAAGGGAGTAGCTAAAGTGGTGGTTAGGGGTTGACTAAATGACTCAATAGAGACAAGTAAAAGTTCATTTGAAACTCAATAACTTTATGGGAGTTTACTCATGTACATTTTGCTGGCAGTACTTTCTAGTCTATTCATCACCTTGTCTGGGATTATGTCTTACTATTACGACTTATTATTGAGGATCATATTCACAGTAATGGAATGTTATCAGGTTCACAGTAGTTTCAGATTAATAATATATTTCCTGCCTCACATTTTGAGAATTGCATAAGCAAACCATAGTTGCTTCTATTCTTATTTTGATAGTTAGACGTTCTGTTTGAGTTATTGCTCAAGAATTTCTGACTTTTTAATCATTCTGGCATATCTTATTTTTGTATCTCGTTATATATCGCTGTTTCTTTGCTGTAGGGAGGGTTCCTTTCTCTTACTTGGAGGATATCCATATGAGATTTATGAAAAATTATGGTAGAATTGCTCATTCTGCTCTAGCTTATGCTATGAATGATGAGTTCTCTAGAGTGTTGCATCAGCAAATGGAGTATTTCTCTAGCAATCCAAGTGCAGATACACTTAATCGTGTCCGAAGTGAAGTCAGTGAGGCAAGTTTCTCCTTATATAAAAAACTTTTTTAGGATAGCAACTGTACTGACCCTATTGTTTTTCTGCTTCAATCAGCATTTCATTTTCCTGACAGATATGGTTGGTATATTAAAAGGTGTTTGAAGAGTTATAGTAAAAAATATTTGTTTGTTATAGTTATTGACAACTATTATAGTTTGTAACCTCCTAAGAAGGTCCCCAGTTATTGCACAAGTGAAACAAGAAATGCAAAATGGTTCAGCTAAAAATATGTCTATATCAAAAGTATGTGACAAGGCTTCCTCACGAAGATTGTATAACATATTGATAGAGAACATCTGATATCAATGATGGTAAGCTTAACTCTTTAAAAACTTTGATAACATAAACCAAGGAAATAAATGGTGGCATGGGTTTTTTACCAACTATAAAACAACAGGTGGATAAAGCAAGTATAAGGGTTTGTAGCCACTTATTTCTATCAAAGACCCAGTTTAATTGGTACACAATTTGACTGTAATACCTGGTATATCTTGGCATTGCTTATATCTATTTTTTCAGCCCTTAAAAATACCTACTTTAAGCCATGTCTCAAGGTTAAGTCCACTCTTCTTGTTTTTGTTACAGATGTTGCTCTACAAAATTAACATATAACATTTTCTGAATTAATGCGTACTTTTTGCTGGAATTCATTCTAAATAGAGATTATCCCTTAGTTGGGGTTTTCTCCATCTGTCTAGTCAATTCCTTGAGTAACCTGTTGGGCCTTTCCCTTCTGCTATTTTAGCAGCTTATTGCATTAATATATGATAAATTTGGTTTGCTATGGGACTTTTTATGTGCAAAAATGAATGTCTTATGAATTATGGGATTAACAGTGATTTTATTTACAGAGTTCTTTTCCTAAAATTTAATTGTTTTTTTTTGGCTGATCTTCGGGTCTTTGAGTGATTTCACAGCTTGTAGGCAGAATTGAGCTAAAGATTGATATGTATGAATTTTCATCTGTTACTCAGCCTAGATCTACACTGGGTTATCACGTACTCAGAATACCAAGATAGTTAACGTTCTGGAAGACCTGGAAACAAATAGTTTTAAAATAGAAATATGATGTATCAATTTTCAGGGTTCCATACATCAAACTGATAGCAGATTGTGGATCTTCGACTTATACGAAGATTCCAGGTTTAAGTTTGATAGGGAGATAAAGTACAGAATCTAAGATTTCAATTCTTTGCAAAGAATGTAGGGTTTCTCATTTGAAACATATATAAAGTATTAGAATTTATTTGAAAAATATGATAAATGAAGAGCTACAACCATCAACCTTTGTACAGGCTTGAGTATGCACTTTTAAAACATGGTAAACCGAGGAGTCTGAATCTGGAACTTGCCTAAGAAAGCTTACGTGTTTAGAAAGGCTCACAAACGTCACTGTGTCTTTGTAGGTTTGGAAAATATATAATACCTGTGTTCCTTATTTTGAAAATACAATTTTCTGAAAACATTTTGAAAGGCTCCACATCTCTCATTACTTGGGGACCACAGGAAAGTTAGAGATCTGAAAACACCTTTGGTTCATATCTTCCTCCCATATATTCTTTCTTGTTATTTTGAACTTTCCATACCAAACCTACTCCCAGATCATGATTTCGAAACTTTGAAAAAAATATAATACGTGTATTCCTTATTTTTGAAATATTTATTCCTGAAAACATTTGGAAGGCTCCACATCTCTCATTACTTGGGGACCACAGGAAAGTTAGAGATCTGAGAATACCTTTGGTTCATATCTTCCTCCTATGTATTCTTTCTTGTTATTTTGATCTTATTCTTTCTTGTTATTTTGATCTTGCCATACAAAAGCTACTCCCAGATCATGATTTCAAAACAAAAGATTAAACAAATAAAATAAATATTCTAAAAGATCATCAAGGTTACCATTAGCTCAATGTTAATAGTTGGCTTAAAAGTTTGGCCAATCTTTTCATGGACCCATCTTGCTTCGGGCTGCACTGATAACATCATTTATTACTACTATTAATGGGAGGTTTTGTTTTGGTCACTATTTCTGGTGTTACACCTCTAGGAGTCACAATTTCAGAAAAATCCACTCTTTAAAACTTACGCAGAGGGGCAACGCTGGAATCCCAAAAAGAATACTAATTTATCAATTCCGAGAACTACTCATGTTCCGAAATCTCAACAAAATTATCTCTTCTCCATGGCTCCGCCACGTCTGCCTCCATGCACTCATTAACTGCATGGTGAGCAATTTATCATCCACCGATGTCTCATGCATGTGTTTCAATCTTCTTACACAGTGGCCAATAGCAAAGGGATAGTGTGCAATCCTTCTTTGTTTATCAGCTTCACCCACGGTAAGGTTTAATTTTTAAAAAACTTTTAGTCATGTTGTGGCATCAATCTTATAATTGATACTGCACTTTGTTAAATATTTGCGCTTTGTTATATATTGTTTGTATTCAATATTCAAGTAATCCGCTTTTTATTCTCTACTGATTCTGAAAGTGTCATCAAAAGTTAGGTGATTTGCTTTCAATTTTGGGATCTGATATTTGAGATATAGTACTAATTAGAAGTTGGAATCTTCAGAAGGAGGGTGATTGCAGTTCCTGCTTTGTTGCCGGCGATAAAATTAGTGAATTAGACATTGTTAAATTGTGAATTAGCATACATTTATATCACTTTTTGGAATATTTTTTACGCCTTTCATATTTGTGTCGATGCTTTAGATGTTAACAATGTTTTTTTTATAAGCACAAGTGACACACATTGCGTGCACAAGAATACTAGCAATGTTGAAAATAACGAAAATGAGTTATGTAACGTTGACCTCCTGATAAGGGTTAAGTAAATAAACGCCAAAAAAACATAACGTAGGTTATATTGTTTAATAATTATTTAGATATTTTATAAATATTAATAATTTATAATAACTTTAATACTAAGAATTATCAAACTTTTCAAGCATAATATCACAATTATCAAATATATAAGTACGATATCATAATTTCCTAACAATAATTAGTCATATATGACTAACAATCATTCCAAAATGCATTATCAAATGATCAAATACGTCGACGTTGTCAAGTTTCAAGCAATAAAACAAGTCTAAACAGAACCAAACACTTCCAAATCTCAAGCATTAATAAATACTACAAAAAAAACTCCATCCTCTAGATCCATCTCTCAAAAAATAACCAAGTTATCCTCATCTAGAATGTAATTCGCATCTTCGGGATCCACTTCATCGTCAGTAGAGATCTCTTTTCCTTTTTGCATGGAGGATACTGTAGAAGTGTAGAAATAATTTCAATCACAAACTCGAGTATTTATGCAAATAAACATGACATTAAAAATTCATAGAAAACTTACAAGAACTATCAACTCTTTGTCTCTTTGTCGTTGGAGCATTTTCATTGTCTTCTTCTGTGGTAGCTAGACTATTAATTGCAGCAACATCGAGATACTCCCTAACCCTGTCATCACCATCTAGCCAGCTCGGATCGTGTCTGGGAATCGTCTGGAAGACAAGGCTCCTCCTCCTCAACTATCCACTCATCATCGGGAGATATCTCATCCAACAGAATTGGATCCATCTTTCGCGCCTTCCTCCGCATATTTCTCTCTCTTAGCTTGATATTGTACATGACATAAACAAGTGAACTAAGGCGCTCTTGCTCCAAACGACTTCTCTTTTTAGAGTGGACATTCATCAAAGAAGAACATCTTATAAGCTTCTAAAATGAAAGATATTAGTTGAATATTAGAATTTAAAATTTTCCACACTTGCTCAAAAGTGCTCCAATTGTGCTCACATTCGGATGCACTAGTAGTGAGGGAGAGAATACGAACTGCAAATCGCTTTAGATTTGGAGTCTCATCTCCAAATCTCTCCCACCAGGAAGCTATACATTCAAATTTCAAACATTAAAAATCAACATAAGAAATCATCGCCATTATAGAATGAAAATTGAAGTAATTAGTAAATTAATACCTGGTGTACGATTACTAATAGTCTTTTGAGCCATGGATGTCCCGAACTCTCCTATTTTTTCCTTATAAGCATCTAGCTCACTATTAGCTAATGCTCTCTCATTTTCGTTGGGAATCATGCAACTCATGGACAAACAGAGTCCTTTCTTCACCTCCAAATCCTCAGTAAATTTGTCCCCATAAAAAAATTTGGATTAAGATAGTAAGCGGCGGCATGGATAAGTTGATGCAGCATATTCATCCATCTAGCATCAATTAGCTTCCAATAAGGCATGTACAGTCTCTTCTTTCCACTAAATGCATCCGCAATCTTCTTCTTTGCCCTGCCATCATCTCATACAAATATGGCATAGAGGGTCTCAAATCTGAATCTACTTCCCGGAGGAGATGAACTAGCGGAAGTGTAGTGGTGAAGCAAAAAAGCATCTTTCCCCAGAATTGTTTAGTGTAAAGAACCGCCTCCTTTGCCTTCACTCCTTTCGGCTTCTTTGCCCAAGTGCTTCAACTCCTCAGAAGAGAACATGGTCCTCAAAGGTTCTTTTAAGGAATACAACATCTGAAGTGTCAAGAAGGATGTAATAAAACGAGTAATAGCGGGCCTCAATAACTCCTTCCCACCTGTGTACTTCCTCATCAAGCTCAAAACCCAACAATGATTGTAGATAAATTATATTACTCCTTTTGCATCTTTAAGAGTGTCTCGGTGTATCTTTATTTTACCAATAGAAGGTCAATGCAATGTGCCACACATGGTGACCAATAAAGTGACTTTCTCTTCTCTATTAGCTTCTTCCCAGCATGAACATAAGATGCATGATTATCAGTGATGACTTGGTGAACATTCTTCTCCCCAGTCTCGTCCATCATGATCAAGGCACTGAAAAAGATATTCTCTGTTCTTAATTGTCGGCGACACATCAATGGACTTGTAAAAAAGTCCCCTCCGGTGAGTTAACGAGGAAGTTAATCAAACTCCTACTCTTCTTGTCCGACCATCTATCAGACATAATAGTGCAACAATACTTTTCCCAAGCCTTCTTGTGTTTTTCCTTAATAGAATCGATATTCTCCACTTCTTTCTTAAGGACCCGTGTCCTTATCTCATAAGGAGTAGGAAGCTTCATTCTGGGACCATATATTCCAATAGACTCTGTCATCTCCTTCCAGTACGGGCTGTTCAAGATGTTAAAAGCCAATCCATTAGCAAAGATTGATCGGCCAATCTTCTCTACCACCACATCCCTTTCTTCTTTTTTGACATTGCTCTCTATTGTTGTTTGACGGTCTTGGATAATAACAAATTGGTCCCAAGGACCAAATGTTCTGGACTGTTGAACCTGGCTACTGCTATCATGGCCACTTTGCACCTCGAAGCTATCAATCTCTTGTTGAATTGGTGAGTCATCATCCATCTTGCCAATTGAGTCAATCAATGCTACCTTATTCTCTTTTACAACTTTCGCTCCTTTTAGAAGATCCCTAAAATACTTCTTCACTGTTTTCGAAACTTTATCACATTTCTTCACTCCTCTCTTGGTCCCAGCTAAGTGATGCTTAAGTCGTGTTACACCCGCCGTGATATGATGATTGCAATACTTGCAATAGAGGTGTTGCTGTGGCTCCCCCTCTTTCGTAACAACATGCTCTCTCACCGGATCTAATCCCTTTGACATCGCTTCAAAAAATATCATATACTACTGCACAATCAAAAGACAAACATACAAATCAAATTAAATTTACAAACAACTTAACTAACAAACACCGCCAAGTACCGACCAAACATGATTATGAAACTAACTTAAGATCATGTTGATTAACAGATGACAATCTACGTGAGTTATGTGTAGAATATAATATTTTTAGCACTTTAATAAAAAGGGTAAATTGCAAATGATTCCCTTATGCAGCAATATTTGTTCAAGAGATCTATCCAATTATGCAAGTACGAGTCTATGACTATATGAGACTTAATAAAAGCCAAGACCCAAGAGAAGGGATGAGATTGAGGAGTATCGAATGCGGCTGCTCGTCGTCGATGAAGGGAGGCGAGTGTTGTTGGCTACTCGTCGTCGAAGCAGGAGCGGCAGGAGGGCTGTTGGCTGCTCGTCGTTGAAGCAGGAGACTCGTCGTCGAAACAGGAGGAGGCGGGGGCTGTTGCTGCTCGTCGTCGAAGCATCGAAGCAGGAGGAGGCGGGGGGGTGGCTGCTCGTCGAAGAAGGAGGCGGCGAGGGCTGGTCCGTCGGCGACGGAGGTGGCTGTCATCGGCGTCGAAGCAGGAGAGGCGGTTATTTTTTTGGAGGCGGCTGAGATAGGGTGCAGCTGAGTGAGGTGAGAGAAATGAGATTGAGAAGGAAGATAATGAGGGATCTATCAAAAATGGATGGTGATGAGATTGTCCACATGCATTTGCATTTTAACCATTTAACCATAGTTATTTTGCGTTATGTGTTAAACACATTTTAACCCGTTTTTTCGTTATTTTGAAAAAAACGTAGTGTTAAATTGTTAAATTGTAAGTGGGTTATATCCTTCTGTTACGTAACATAAAGGTCACGTTAGGTTATAAAACTCATTATAACGCGTTACGTAACCCCTTTTTTTCAACATTGAATACTAGTTGTTTATTGGAAGTATCTTGAATGGTGATGGTGATGATAGATATTCAAATGTCAAACTTCTATTTATTTATAGATCTTGAACTGTGCTGACCAGATTTAGTTTAGTTACTTCAGTATCAGTTACTTATTTTTGTTTTAATTGGTCGTGCTCATTTGGTGAATCGTTTATCAGTAGATGTGAAACTTCTAGGCTTATTTTCTTTTTTGCGCATTTGGTGCATTTGTTCGTTCTATGTAATAAATGGCATCTACTTTTTTGCTTAAATTGCTCAAAAATTTAATTACCGTGTTGCTTTGAGCTTATACCTTGGTGTCATTTTCCAGATACACACTGTCATGGTGGAAAATATTGATAAGATATTGGATAGAGGTGACCGGATTGCACTTCTTGTTGATAAAACTGCTACTATGCAAGATAACACCTTTCACTTCAGGAAGCAATCTAGGCGTCTTCGCCGAGCTTTGTGGATGAAAAATGCTAAACTTTTGTAAGTGAAATTAATTTTTGTTTCAGCTGCATGATTGACTTATTAATATGCTTAGTGGTCTACTTGGTCAATTCTTGAATATTTGTGAAATGTAACTTTGTAATAACTCAGTCTACATGATAATGATACTCACATGGTTTTATAATAGAAGCATCCTACATAGGTGAGGTACTGGTATAAGCTGGTTTGAGTAACAAGTCCTGAGGTAGTTGAATTTGTGGAAAATGTTGTATGACATTGGTTGTGTTTTGAGATTAGTATGACTTGATGTATGCTTCATTGAAAGTGAGTGTCTGACTTGGAAAAAGATATAAAAAAAGTAGATTCATAGTGTGAAGAAATGTGGAAAACGTGAGGTCCGGAAGTCTTTGATGTCCATTCTGTTAGCAGTAAATTGAAGGTTAGAATAATAGCATGATGTGTATGTAAAATGAAATAGGATAATTGGGCTAACAAATTGATATATTGGATGATTAAATTTTAGCATGTATGACATTTTTTGACTTGTTGGTAAATTTGAAGCTTAAAAATGGGCTTCAAAATTTTCAGGGAAATGGATGCTGTGAGGAATTGGGCAGATTTGAAACGCTATGTAGATGTAAAGTTACTGATTGTTACTAAAATACACATGCACGCGCACACACACACACGGAAAAAAAAAACTTCCATCATAAGAGAGTGATAGCATTTTAGGGAAGAAAGCAGTTTCGTTTAGAAGGGTGCTATTGTGAGTGTAACATGACGAGTGAGGTGGTGCCTCTGTCAAGAACATAGTTATGTGCTAATCAGGAATCACAAGTACGTTACTGATCTGAAGGAGTTGGAATCATGCATGATCCCATGAGGGAAACCATGTGCATCTATTTATTGATATGCTGATTGTTCGGTGGCCATATGAATAACCTTTTTGTTTGTAAGGAATGGGTTATATGGCTTATGCAAGCTAGATAACATTACTTTTATTTTTATTTTTTTACTTCAACTAATTTCAGTTGAGAGTTCTCACACTCTTTTAGAAAATTATGGCCTGTTTCTAGGATATTGCATTCATTCTGTTGCTTGAGCTGACAAGCTCCTTCTTTTCATTCTTCCTATTACAGAGCCTTGCTGACATTCTCAATAGTTCTGCTGCTCTACATCATTATCGCTGCTTGCTGTGGAGGCATCACTCTTCCATCATGCAGATCATAAGAGCTTGTGGGTTGCAAATTGATTGGTTCTACTTTCTCAATTCTGTGATCCTGGTCCTGTAGTGGACATCTTCACTGGTAAACCTCAGATATTTATACGTGCCGATGGCAACGTTCAGGATTACCCATGATACCGGATTACATGTTCAACAATATAAGTTTTCTGTGTGAATTCAGTGAATAAGATCTGCTTGTATAATGTTTGTTATCGTTTTCACATATGGCTGATGTTTTTTCTTATGCATGTAAATTATTTGAATTTGGAGAACTGTATTGCAGACTTCTTGACCATTGTCTAAAGTTTGATATCAAGAATACCCCTTTGGATGGAGCTATTACATAACAATGAATGATTCATGTGGAGTATGCAACTGAAGTTTTGATTGAATATTCTGACACTGCATAATTGTTCTTTCCAAAATTTGAGGTCATATGATGCAATTACAAACTGATGGAGTTGGTAGCAACCACTCCATCCCCAAACCTACTTCACTTTTCCAATGTTATCTCCGAACTATTCAATTCTTAGCTACCACAAACCTTCAAGTTTACTGCAAAGATGATTTCAGGTGATTCTGCTTCCACTGCGATCATTGTCAGAGATCCGAATATTGATTCTAAAGGGAAAGCTCCTATAGAACCAGCATCTCCTCCTGCTGCTGCTCCAAAAGTTCAACTAGCTGCTATTTCCGGGAAAAATAATGTGAGAGGATGCAGAAGATGTATTGCTCTACTTGATTTCCTCTTGAGGCTGTGTGCTATTGGTGCTTCTCTTGCTGCCACCATTACAATGGGAACCACCGAGGAGACTCTTCCTTTCTCCGGCGAGTTCTTTCAGTATCATGCTAGTTATGAAGATCTCCCTGCTCTAACGTGAGTATTTGGCTTCTCTATTTCTCACAAGCAGGCGTGGAAACTGTGAATAATTATCAAAGCACAACTATTATTTGTCTATTAATTTCGGCTAAATTTGATTCTGAAGATTGTATAACAGCAATAAAAAAATTTGTATGTTGTATTAATCAAATCAAACACGAGCATTTAATATGATTGGTTTATTTGTCAAATATACGCTTAAAAACTAATTCCTTATAACTTGTGTTATATATAAGCATATCATGGGATGTTTAGCTCCTCCTTATTTTACTTTTCTCAGTCTAGGTTCTATATTTATTTTGAGAGATTGGAGAGTCTGAAATGTTTTGTTACAAATTATTCAGATCACAGATTTAATTTGATTCAATCTGTTTCCTACTCTAGTAACAACATATTTGCATGCTTTCAAGACAAACTGTAAAGCATATATATGCTCACCGTCGCTTCATAACAAAGAAATTAACGAAAACAATCTTCATGAAGAAGGATACAAACATTTGTGAAAACTTACATAGAGTCTGACCCCTAGAGAAAAAATATCCGCAGTTTGTTATAAGCAAAGTGCGTTATCGACATTGTGATACATGCAGGTTTTTTGTGATTGGAAACGCAGTCACAGCAGGCTACCTCGTCCTGTCTCTCCCGTTCTCTCTTGTTACCGTCATTTGGCCACAAGTACTCGGCCTAAAGCTTCTCCTCCTCGTCCTCGACACTGTAATCTATCCAACTTCGTTACACATTTAATTTCTACTTACTTAAAAGACACCAAATGTTTCTACTTCTCTCTTTGTGATTGTGATTTCAGGTTATGCTTGCTCTGGTTACTTCTTCTGCCGCTTCCGCTGCATCCATTGTTTATTTGGCGCACAATGGGGACCCGAAAGCAAACTGGGTTTCCATCTGTATGCAGTTCCATGGCTTTTGTCAACGTATAAACGGTGCAGTTGTGGCCTCATTCGTCGCTTCGGTTGTCTTGATAGTGTTAGTTGTGATGTCTGGTTTGGTACTGAGAAAGCACTGAATATGCCGATCAAAGTTTTGTGATGTTGTGTGATCCTCGAGTTTGTTGTGCACTTGGTAATTCTCATGCCTAAAACTGCAGTTCAGTTTTAAATTTTTTTAATTAATTTCGCCCCCTTAATATAGCCCAATCGTGACTGAACCCATGTAGTTTTCTTGGTGCAGATAGACCCCCCAGTGAACTTCTCTGACTCTTTTTAGAGTGAAAAATGATTCATTTAGGGAGTGCATCTGCACTTGGAGGAATAGTACAGGAGATCTATCCCGTGGCAATAGAACTATAATGGGTCTATCTGCAATATTGGAAGATAGTACAGGGGGTCTACCTGCAATTAACGCTTAATTTTTCAGCTTGTGATTGCAGTTGTGGTGACATTAGCAAATATCTAAGACTTCATTAAGAGGCTGATTGTGATTGGAGTTGCAACATAGGCTCTACTTGTATATATAATGTTTTATTATTTGCAATGAGGCAACTCGTTGGGACTGATCCAAAATGTCTCAATCTGTACGAAAATAGCTGCAATCCATAAAGTTGCACGAACCAAGGTAGTGGCTTAAACGAGAGAACTTTCTCTCTCTCTGTCTTTGGAAACAAAATGGAGAAATGAATAAGAAAGCGGAACTTTGTGCGAGCTTTTAAGCGAGGAGTCTTTTCCAAGGGTGGTTGCCAACAAAATATGACAAGGAAAAGCAAGAAAATGACAACGAGAAAGATTGAGAGGGAAAGGTTTAAAGGAGATAAAAACGGAAAATTTGAGGAGACCGAGCGAGAGTCTTTGATCCAATGCATCTCACTTAGAAAAATGGCTTTTGGGGATGTGTCAAGGTCAATAATTAGTCCGTTGTTGGACCCATTATAGAATCTATGCTTTATTCAGCACCATCTTGGCTATTTAAAAACCTTAAAACAGTCTTTCATCCTGAGTCTTTTTAATTATTAACTCTTCATGGTCTTTCTTTTCTCTTCGCCCCCTTTAAAAAAAACGTTACTATCCATTGCCAACTTGTCTACAACTTATTAATAAAGAATAAAAAGTAATAGTAGGCTTCTTAAAAAAAGTCTTGATTTTGATATTTTTCCATTAAATGTGGCTAATAAACTGATACTGACTATATATAATATCTCTTGGCGGCTCACGAAGCACGTCGCCACATCATATATGTTAACATACATATCTACATTAATATTGTCTGTTGTCCATTCTACTCTTTTTACAATTTGAACGAGATCTCAATGACAATAACTGAGAACAAAAAGGAAAGCTAAAGTCAATATTATCCAAGCTGACAAACTAATAGGAATGATATTATGTTTGATATTTATTTTAACATACTAGGTGAATTGCACGTGCAACGCACGTGGTATAAATTATTAGATTTGGCTAAAATTGACGATCTAGTTTATCATTTCACTCTAATTTATTCATTGAATCCTTTTAAGCTAATTTAGAGTTTATATACATGTTTAAACAAACATATGATAGCCTAGTGAAGACCCAAAAGGAGCACCGTTTTTTTACAAATCTTATATCACTATTAAAAGGATAATTGTATACTAAGACTTAGTTATATTTTAACATGTAGCATTGCAAATCTTATATCACTATTAAAAGGATAATTGTATACTAAGACTTAGTTATATTTTAACATGTAGCATTGATTCATTAATTTGCATTCAAGATAGATAATTGTATACTAAGACTTAGTTATATTTTAACATGTAGCATTGATTCATTAATTTGCATTCAAGATATTTCAGATTTTTATTTTTCAGTGTACACAAGAATATAAATCAAAATAATTTATTACGCTTATTTTTAAATGAATATTTTCTAGTAAATGAGGTATCAAATTGTTAATGTTAGTATGTAGAAAGATCCTTTGACTCGGTTCCAAACATTTTCAGTGGAAATATAAATAAAATTGTAATTTTACAATTGACAGTTTTATTCCTCTTTATAATGACAATAAAGGAATTGAAGCACGCATGCTCTGTATAATTTTATACAATATGACTAAAAGCAAGAACAAGAATATCAGTTTTAAACACAACTCTACATTATAATGTGCTTCTCAAGTTACCTCTCCTCCATGTTCTAGTACAGTATCTTCAACAACACCACTTAGCATTTCAATGGACTGGTAAAAGCCAAAGATGCATAGTCTTCTTTTAGTGTCAAATAACTATTTAACTACATCATAAAATATTTTTACATTATTAAATTCATTTGTTTTAAGAAAATAAACAAATTAATTGAGAGAATGCGCTTCTTAAAAAATGTCACCTTTTATTTATATGAACCTGTGTGTATAATAAGTTTCCCTTTCTACAAGGATTCATTGCCCTTTCTTTTTGGATGTAAAATATCAGCAAAAATATTCGAAAAGAGATCTAATAGTAACACCGGAGTTAAATAAATTTTAAGATATTGATAGAAAATTTTAGCATGTCAAAATAATTCCATTGAAAAAAAATTCATGAACAACCTTATAGTTCTAAATTTGTGAATAAATATCTGATAAGTTCTCAAGAATTTGAAGGCCTTCAAGCGATTAACAGTTCATGGTGCATTTCAACAGAGCCTAGAGTGAAATTCAGAACCTCTTTTAAAGGAATCAACGTCTCCAATTACTTTTCCGAATTCATCACTTTTCATGGCTCCTTCATGCTTACAGGTATTGTAGGTCCATACATGAACAGAAAATTAGCGACAGTTTGGAGATGATGATCTCAGATATATGTTGTATGAGTTAATAATATTAGTCTTTTGAATTGTTCTTATCTCCTCTGCTTCCAATTTTGAAGCTTAACCAGTGGTGCAATGTGGTGCATTGAGAATTTAATCTCCCCACTACTTTTATTAGGTAATAGTTATATTTTATCATACTCTTTTTTTGCATGCTTGATGTTTATGATGTTTTAGCTGATCTGAATAGGATTCAAAGAACTTTAGAAAATGGCTATTAAGACAAAACATTTCACTAATAAAGAGACATAAACCCTTTAAAGCTTCAACTGCTTATTTGATCAGACTATGTACCTTGGTTTCATTGACTACTCAAGTCCTTAAGGTTAAGCAAAACACCATCATTTTATAGTTACAAAATAAATTCAGTATCTTGAACAACCACCTGAAAGTATGACTCAATAAATGCCAAATGTTCTCGCCAAAGAAGTTAGATTGATGGTGGCGTGTGAGAGGTATTTTGCACATAACCAAGTAATATTACAAACGTAAAATAACCAAATCGTATATTCTAAGGTCCAATGAATAAAATCCATTAGGGGTTATTAGAAGTGGTCAAAGCAGCAAATGAAGCCACAACACTCATGTAGACCATAGCACACAGTCTAGAAGGATTGCACGAGCAATGCACATGGTAAAGTTTTTAGAATTATATATTTTAAGTTGATAATTTTATTTAGAGAATGTTATTGTAAAATTTTATTGAATATAAATGATGGAGCAAACATATGGACAGAAGCTAAAATTCACAATGTTTGAACAATGAAATTATATTTAGGGATCAATTGGGCGATAGTACTATGGGTGCATCCTCAACAATAGAAAACAAACTATGTTATACAAGCCAGAATAACACTTCATTTATTCATCAATAATATACATCACTCTACTAAATAAATATGGAAAACAAGTATCATTCAGGCTACAACCAGAATCAAATCATGCAATTATATAGGATGATGATATTCAGACATTTGGATGAGACAAATAATGAATGTGTATTAACAACTATCTTAACTTGAAAGCATAACAATCCTCAGCAGACCAACAATAATAATATTATCAACTATCTTCCTCAATTGAGAGCGCTAGGGCAAAGCTAGAATTGCTAAGAGCAAAGAAAGGCAAGTCAATTCTGAAACAAATTATAAAATAACCAAATATTATCAACTATCCTCCTTAATTGAGAGCGCTAGGCCAAAGTTACAAGTGCTAAGTTGGATGTTGGTTTTTAGATTTTTAATTTTTTTAAAATTGTGTAATTTTTATTACATTGTGTTAAAAAAATTGTTCTGAGTTATGTTTGAATTAAAGTATTATAAGGAATTTTACATGATACCCTCAACAAAACAAACATGTCCAATAAATGGTATCAAAGTGAAATAGGTAAGAAAATTTGAGGTATTAAAGTTTAAAAGTACATTGAGTGTACCAAATTGTTAAAAGAGGTAAACTTTAGGGTACCAAAGTGAATAAATACCCTTTTTACATTTCCACACAACGTGAGTACAACTTCATCATATATGATAGGCTTGTGTTACTCCAGCAAGTGTTCACCTAATTTACAGATCAAATAAGGCTATTAGAAGAAACATTCTAATTTCTGTATAACCTATATCTTTCAGGAAAGTCTCTTCTATACTATTTTATCAAATATACCAGTCTACCAACCTGATTAAATTTTATTAAAATAATATTAGTCCACTGTAACATTGCTCATAAACTTTACCATTTTCTACTTACATCCTAACATTATTAATATAAATTGCACATCAAAATCAGAATACACCCCACTATCCCTCAAAAGCCTCTTCTCCTCCTCCATATAGTTCTTCCCCTTCCTCGCTTGCCTAAGATCCCTCTTTCTCTTCTCCTTCTGTGAAAACAACTTGCTCTTCTCTTTCTTATCAAAGAAATATTATTTACTACAATACCCGTGACATTTTATTAAAACTCTAGCGATTGAAGTTATAACTAAGGATACGAGGGGATATTACTAATATACGTGAGCATATCAACAAACAAATTGTATGCATGGGTTCAACTATTTCTAACAAGAAAAAAATATATGATAACAGGGAACAACATCAAAGAAAGCTAAGAATCAAGAAAGAGAGGGTATAGACAAAGAAATTTTAAAATTAAAATCAAAGTTAAACATTTACAGAAATCATACCAAAATTTTTTTATTCATAATCACCTTCCTTAATTTATTTCCTTTGTGATGCACTAAAATTTGAGATTTGAAGAGATGGTGGCAAAGAAGGTGTAGTATTTTTTTGAAAACTTGATTTGGGGTTGCATCTAAGATGATAAGGACAATAATAACCATCATTATAAATTGATTGCCCATTGATGAAGGTAGAGAGAGTAGGGATACATTGAAGGATCTGAATAGTAACCGAATGAGAGGGAGAAGAATGGAAAGTTGAGACTTTTGACTTTCTGATTTCTGTGTATAAACTTGATTATGTTTTCAACTATTTCCATGAACAAATGAATGATGAAGAGACTCAATTAAAGTTATATTTTATCTACAATATAGTTACATTTCCTTATTGTTTTTTTTTTGTTATTTTTCTATATCCGATGAAAGATTCCAGTAAGCAACTTCTTCATCCTTGCATTGATGAGTGTCTGAACACCATCATCGATCCTGCATGCGAAGCTCTGATTAATGTCATGATCTACAATCTCATAATTTTTAAAAAGAAATCGGAGGTTAAAACTAAAATAGATAGGCCATGTCCTACATTCTTTCACTTTATACACCAACTTATCAATTAAATTATTCATTAATTTGGAGCCAAGGAGAGTTGAAAAGCCTAATTATGAATTTTTTTGAGAGAAGGTCAATTATAAGATTCATTAGTTTGAATTTCTTTTTGATAAATAATTAACCGGAAGTTTAAGGGGTTAAGTATGAGAACTTCT